TCAAGTTCAAGGTCTCGTTTCTATGGTTAAATGGTTTTATTATCTCTAATGACGAGGCTTTGATGGAAAAGCTCTTTATCGGAGCGATCAAATCGGTAGTTAATGGATAATAAAGCTAATAACTCTGCCACAATGGGGACATTTTGTAAACGACTTTGAGGAATCATTTTTAGACGAGTTTCTACTTTCATAGCAAACTATCCAAGTTTTCTACTTCTGTGCGAGCATTAAAAGCTTTCAAGTTGGTAAGATTTTTGTTTTTATTTCTAAATGGGAAAGCAACCCTTGACCTGATTCTGCAAAAGTTCAGTTATAGGCTAAAGTATGCGAATTTTAGATGCACTTTAAGAAGTTATAAGTTATAGCACCTAGACCTCTCACCAAGACCCAAATATAGCCATAAAACCCCCTCATCTGCAGACTTTTAATGCATTTTGTGAGTTACAGAAACCTCAACATGTCCTAATTGCCTGTTTGGGGTTTGCCTTTTGCTCTCGCATGTCACATGTAATTAAAATTATTACAATTCCGCAGAGAGGGTGGTCGGTTGCATTCCGAAATCAGTTCACTTTACTTTACTGTCTTGTTTTTCCCTTTCACTGGTAACTGCTAAATGGTATTATTTTAGGAACGCATTTTCCCCAGTTAACTTCATTTTGTGTCCTCCACTAGTGGTTGCATGTTTTCCACTTTTATTTTCTGTAGTTTCTGTAGTTTGTGTTGCAACACAAGAATTGGGTGGTTTTGGCTAGTGGGAGTGGCCCGAGGGCTGCTATATGCATATATATTTTTGAAAGTAGGCACTAGCTTTGGCTTGATATATGGGCCAAGTACTGGGTATAGGATGGAGTTCTATTCAGAGCACTCTCGTGCTTGTATTTTGCGTTTGTTGGGCAATTGTTGAATCGATAAATGTAATTTTTTTTTTATTCTACCATTTTCCCCGAAAAACGTCACAACATTTCGAGCCATTTTTGTTGTGGCTTCTGCTATATAGTTTCCTATATTATTCGCTTGTGTTTGTGGGATTTATGCGGCTTACTGCACTGCTGTAGGGATTCATTTTGTCCTCGTTTTTTTTGGGATTGTCTGGCTTAAATTGTTAATATAATTAAATTACAGCCAGAGACTCTACTCTCCCTCCCTTGGAGTTTTTATTTCAGAGCCCTGGCAGTGAAATAAATTTATTTCGGTCTTCTGTTCTGCTTTTCCTGTTTTTACTTTATACTTATATTTTTTTTTTCGCAATTTTTTTGCTATTTTAATTCCATCTCCTTCTCTGTTTTCCTTCTCTCTTTAGCGTTTTTTAACCCGCACGCGACAATTATGCATATTTTTATAAATAAACAAGTCCACACACACACACTCATGCGCGCTTTTGGCCAACGAAGCGTATGCGTAATATTTTTCTTTTTTCAGCTATGTGCCCGACAGGGCTGTAATTTCCACCTGCCGCGCGAAAAATTCTTAAAAGCAATTTTTACTGCATACAAATTATGTAGAATTCAAGGAAAAATAATGAATTTAAACAAGAAAAAGGCGGTTTTTTTAAGAGAATAATACTTTATAGAGATACTTGAGGTGAAAATTGGGAAGACCCATGATCGTTTCTATTTGATCACCAGAAAGAAAGTCTTTTTTCCATTTTCCAATTTTAATCTCGACTTTCCCAGGAGCCATTAATCAACATTATCAGCTTATGTCAGGCCTGAGCTGAGGAACCTCTAAAAAATAATTACCCAGTACTTAGTGTGAGTATACGTTTATAAAGCTAGACATCTGCACACGCATGAGAGACCCAGGCCCCTCGAATTATACTTGGCCATGCCATAAGTGGGACAGACATTCAGTCAGACAGACAGACACTAAACCAAAAAATGATTAGAAAAAAAAAAGAGTCGCTCGTTTAATGGGTCAGGCCATTTTGGTAGCTTTCGGATGGATATGGAAGAAATCAGGGTGACTAATGATTCAAGCGGCTATGAAAAGTTCACTCCTCCGACCAGCTTTTTGGGGTTCAAGGCCTCAAGCAACACGTGAGCAACTTTTACTTTTGTTTCGACTCTGACCAGAGACCAGAGACCACAGACCAAAGAAAAGTTATGTAAATTGTTGGGGGCATCGGCATTGGGCCATAGAGAACCCAATAAGGGGAACCAGACCCCATTATATTGATTAATCGTGTGAGGTTTGACCCCGAATCGGTCAACAAAAGAGCTTAGTTAGGTCGCCTAACTGTGAACCCTGAACTGTGAAGATCTAGTAGTGGATGTTCCACATTGAAAACAAACATTTCTATTGGTCTCCATCGATTGGGTTTTTCTAAAAGATATTTTCGCATATATTTCTTTTTATTTTTTGCAAATTTTCGCCTTTTGATCTTTTGAAATGTGTGTCAGAATGCCGCACTACTGCCGCAGTCCTCCATTGAAATAAAAATAACAAAAAATGTCTAAAAAACTACAAAAATGTAAAAAGGCCGATTGTGAGTCAGAAATAATAGTGGAGATGCTTAGAAGCTTTTAGTTTTGTGTGTCTGTTTGGGGCCAACCAGTTGCCAAAAGCGTCTGTCAGTGGGTCAAAAGTTATGTGAAGAATGCTTGAAAATTTAGGTGGCTTCTGAATTTATTTGAGGTGTTTTTTTTTGCAGAAAAGTGTTGATGATTTCAGGGTTAAATGCATTTAATAGCCACTCATTTTGCGCCATTAAAATTAAATTAAACGCCGTCATGAACTACAAGTGCCTACATTCAAATAAAAAAAAATAATTTCCATAACAGCTGTCTGTCTCGGTATTTGGAGGAAATCTTTACCCATATTTTTCAAATTAAAGCACCACCAGTTTGAAATCCACTTGAGAATTCTTCGACAAGCCACTTATTTCGACATTTTTCACTTGGGACTTGTGCAAAAAGTTTTTATGCATATTTTTAGCTACAAGTGTCTCTTTTTTTTTTGCGCACAATTACAAAATACAAGTACAGCAAAGAAAACAGCTCAAATTACTCAGCAAATCGAAAGTGAAATTCATGGTTGGCCTTCAACAGATTCGTTTTGTATCTGTGATTTTTTTTATTGCTATTTGGTCCATCCATAAGTGCACTTCATCATAAATTATTCCAACTTGAAAAGCACACACAATTAAAAAGAAATTTAAATTATGTAATTTATGGTGTCAGCTCGTACGAAATTATACAATTTCGATTAGCAGGTCTCACATACTTAAATATATATATATCAACCATATTATGCTTGAAAGTATCTCTAGTTTGTAATATTGAAACGTGCCATACTTTTATGAGACCGATGAGTGAGTGCCCAGCGTGGGGGCTTCTCTATTTGTTTATAAATAAAATTCAATACCAAGGAATGCAAATGATGGGAAATATTTATTCTCTATAGAAAGAGCAATATAAAGACCTGTCATATTAGAAAAAATTATAGACAACCCATGGCTAATAAAGGATTGGTATTTTTCCATTTTCATATAAAGACTTAAATCTTTAAATTTGTAAAAGTATCGACTATCTTTTTTCACTATTTTGCGGGTTGTGGCTTTTGGAAAAGTTTGTGGTATTTTTATTTTTGCAGCTGTCGCTGTTGCCACCATTTTAACCCACACTTTGTGGCTGGAACAGTAACTGAGTGGAGAACTGCCAAAGTCAATGTTATTTCGGTGGCAGCTGTTGTCCATTTTGGCTGTATTGCATACCATAGTTTGGGAGTTTCTTCTACACATATATTTTATAAAGTTTAATATTTAAAATAGCTTTATCAATAAGCTGATTACAAGTCCACACTGTAGTTTTGAATTTATAGATGTTTACATTGTTCCCAATCCGCCACAAACTCATTAGCATTGTGGTGCGGTGGGTGGCAGTGGGATGGATGTGGGTGTTTTCGGTTATGCCACAGTTTGTGGTTGCCTCTGATGCCTGATGCTGATGATGATGGTCTTTGATGCTCAGTATTTTGGATTTGTGTTGACGTTGGCACAAGAGGATGTCCACAAAACCAAATGACAAATGCAAACCAAATCGAATGCAATTTAAATTGAAATTCGGTTTCATTTTCCAACAAATGGAGGCCCAATCAAAAACAATGAAAGTTGGCCAGGACTCAAGGATGAGGCTAAAATCCATTTAATTTGAATGTGGTGTTTGATAACATTTAAATAATTTTAAATGGATAACTTATCAATGAATTATTGAATAAGAAAAATTGTAAGGTATTTCGTTAAAGATTCTGGAGAAAATTGGCAAAGATATGAAGAATTTGGGCAGTCATATTTGGAAAAGTGTGAAAAATATGGATAGTAGGTATGGAATCTTTTTAAGAACTCCGCTTGTGAATAGAATTTAAAATGGCCAAGATATGGGCATAATGAAGAGTCTATATAGGAAAACCTGGATTTTAGAAGGGGATTTTACAAATGATAAAAGTAAACGAAATAAATTTTAATTTAAATGTGGTTTCATTTCCCAACAAATACGGGGACATTCACAAACAATGAAAGTTGGCCAGAACTCAGGGATGAGACTAAAAACCATTTAATTTTTGCGGTTAGCATTTTCCAGCCCTTCTATAAGCTATTTGATTTTTTTTCTACTTGAAACAACTTTTTCGTGAAATAAACTCCCAACAAAGCTGTTTAGGTATACAATTAAGTTTTGTAATTAAAAACAATTTTCGTGTTTGAATGCTGCTATTGAAATACAGCTTGATATCCAACTGATATCCAACTCTTCGTGCTGTTCCATGAAAATGCTAATTATGCTTTATTATAGAAATTTTAATCCAATTTAATTGAAAGCCAATTCTAGGTGGATTACCTCCATCACCCTACCACCTCCCCATTGTTACGGCAATGTGAACTTCACGGCTCTGTGCGCAACTATTACGCCAGCAATTATAGCTCACTCAACACATATGTATATGATTATATCTAGCTGGCTATTCTAACAAGTTTTTCCTCCTCCATCTCACCCGTTTCTCTCCAGCGTGCGGATTGTGCTTCTGGTGCGGGATCCACGTGGCACAATGCAGTCGAGACGGCATCGGGTCTGGTGTGCCGGCAATGAGGACTGCGAGGATCCGCGACTGGTGTGCCAGGATCTGGAGGATGACTACAAAACAGCCAAGGAGATGCTGGACAAGTATCCAACACGTTTTAGGTGGGTTTTTACTTAAAAACTTACTTTTATTTAATAATAATAATCTTGTTATTTCAGGACCCTTCGCTATGAGGACTTGTCGCTCAATCCCAGTGAGATGACCCAGGACATATTACTGTTCTATGGCTTGCCATTTGACCCAGCTGTCGAGGAGTTTCTGGATACACACACCAAGGAAAACATTGGCGGCGTCAGTTCCACATATCGGGATTCCAGATCAGCGCCATTCCATTGGATTCGGGATCTAAAACCAGACGAGGTACCACACTACAATCCTCCAGAAATGAAAATTTCAATTTAATTTTTAATTATTTCCCACGAACAGATTAAGCAAATCCAAGACGTCTGCGTGGATGCCATGGATCTGTGGGGCTATCGACGTATTGAGGACTTTAGCAACTTCTCCAGTATCCAGCAGAGCTTCGATCCCATGGTGATGCCGCCCCCGTTCACGTGAACGCGGTCCTAGTGTTAAGCTGATCTATCTGATAATGATAACTAATTCTTCTACTTGGTACATTTTGTTGTGATATCGTCGTGTTGAGCGAGCAAAAAGAAAAAAGGTTAAGAAAATTGGAAAAGAGCCGAAAGGAAAGTGGCCAGAACGGAGAGTGGCAGTAGGTCTATTGGGTGCATTTTGTGGGAACTCGATTGCTGGCACATTTTATTGCTGAACACGCAAACACACTTAACTGAGCAATAGTTATTAATAAATATATATATATATATAAATAAATAAATATAAATATTAACTGAATATACAATATGAAATGCATAATTTTAGTAATTGGCGAATTTTGTGTAGAGCGTAAAACGGTACGAAAACCAGTCGAATATCAGAATTACATTTAGGCATAGATTTTAAGCAAAACCAATAAAACTGAAAACTTAGTCTATATAGGGCTGCGTATTGTGGATCGTTTACTTGGCTTTTTGATGTAAATTGTTTAGGCAAACAAGCAATTTTTTGTAATCCAGCTTAAAAAGTGCATATATAGATGGAAAACCCAGTGATTTAGCGTCTTTACTGAAACATAACTCACAACCCAAAACGTATCAGTCAGAAATTCAGAAAAAAAGCTCGAAAACGATTAGATGATGCAATTATACAAAAAAAAAAAAAACAAAAATACATAAAAATTAGATAAAATGTTTGGCAAACCAAAAATTGTGCAATATTATGAAACAAATGAAAGAAAAAACAATTAAAGTCACGCTAGTATCAATTTAGACACGAATTTCCTAAAGCAAATTATAAATTATATACAAAAATGTAACAAAAGAGCAATGGGCACTCAACTCCTAACTATAAGTTCTCTTAGAAATAATTTATTTTTATGGTTATTTAGTTGTAATTGTAATTAAATTGTACTATACTTTATGTCATTATTATACAAATGCGTTAAATACGTTCTCGTTTTCCAAAACGACGCCCAGTATATCGATCAAATTGGTAAATAAAACAAGTTCAAGTGATTTGATTATTTGATAAACGAAAGAATCCAGCAATATTTGCATAATTACACTTATTAAGCAAAATAACAACTGAATAAACAATGAATTATAAAAAATAAATGGGTCTTTTATTACATTTATTTGGTAGTGGTGTTATATATTAAAGTTTAAAAGACTTATGATATGTATGAGTTTTTAAAAAACATAGTTAAGCATTCTTTAATAGTTTATATTGAAAGTATAATTGTTTTACAACAATTTTTCAATAGTTTGAAATTATTGGACGTTATATTTTTTCTACGTGGCTTTTTATCGCCTTTTTTACTTTAGGATGCCAACACTATTTTACATCTTACATGATTTTACATCTGAGTGGCGCCACTTGGCCATTTGGTGGCAGTTTTTGTAACTAACAAATACGCCAGAATGTAATTTTTGAAGAAAAACACAACTAATATTGGCGGCTAATTTAAAATTAAATATTCATTTTTAATTTTCTATTGTAATTTAAAATATTTCATAAAGTAATACAACTTTTGGGTGAATACATTTAAATTACACTTGTCTTTGGCCCATTTTGGTGGCCAATTTATTTGTTGAAGTGGAATAGCCTGGCATGTAATGTTCGAGTCTAAAACTAGCATGCTCCAAGCCAGCTCCCAGTTCTCCACCCGGTGGGTTACGATGCTGCCCTTTAGGCTGCACACTCCCTCCGAGGAATAAAACCTAAAAAGTGGATGATGGCGTCTCTGGATTCCGGCTATTTCGGCACAGATTCCGGTTATAAAGATATCCTCCAAGGGCACAAAAGTCATATTCAAAGCAATACCATATAGCTTTGGCACTACGTCCATAGAAAGCAGATAACCCGATCCGGATATATAGACGGGATATACGTCAAAAGGATATATAGAGGATGGCATGTATGATTTGTCAGAGACATCTCTGGATGGCAGGACCATGCAGAATCTGTGCCCCATTATCAGATTCTGGGTTTCAATAAGCCGATCCATGGGTGTATAGGAAACGTGATCATAATATTCCAAAGTATCCTGATAGAGGGGTATGGTGCCTCCCAGTAAATAGTGCAGAAGATTGGGAATATTCACAAAAGAATCGTCATCGCATTTTAAAAAGAAAGCCGAGTTGTTGGTACAACTTGTGGCTATATGTTTTAGGATCATCACTGACTTTATTGTGAGATTCTGATAGCTATCCATAAAGTCCTCCTGAATGATATCGTTGTGCATTTCGGCTTCTTTCTTTATAAATAATGTGCTATTTTTGTCCTGACTTCGACCCACAACGAAAATTAATTGCACTTTGAGCCTCATTAGCTCACCTCTGCCCTCTAAATAGTCCTTAAAGAGGTTCATATGTTCGGCCAAAGGTGGCAGATAGTTTTCCACTGAATATCCATGGAACTTGACAAAAGTTGGATAATTAAAATCGGTAGTATTGCCCCATGTGTTGCGGATAATAGAGCGCTGTTTAAAGTTCTCCAACTTGGAGGCAACAGCTATTATAAGAAAGGCCTTTTCCTGGCAGAATCCTTTTGGAATTATCAAGGCTGTTTTCTTATCCGGATCCAGGTAATCTCTTGTTTTTCTGGATTTATTATCTCCCCAATCTTGGAGTTGTGCTGTTTATGGTTTGATTTTATGAAAAATTCATAATTTGTATTATATACTGACTTACCTCGTCGGTTTATGAAATCATTATCATTGAATTCAAATGCCTTGTAGATCAGAAATGTCATTAAAAGTAAAACCAAAGCTAGCAAGACTCTTCTCTTGCGATATGGCAACATTTTTAAGAATATTTAAATATTATTTTATAAATTTTAAAAGTTTTGGAGTGTGTCTGGGAGAGTTGTGAGGAATAGTGATTGTCTTTCAAAGGGTTGAAAGATAAAACCAGAACTCCTTTATCCCCAAATCCATCCCCGAAAAAACTCAATTTATTTTTGCTTTAATAGAGTGCACTGTATTTGGGTTTGCTCTTTCATTACTTGGTTTTTATATTTTAAATATAGTTTAGTTTAATATATGCAGCTATATAATAGTTAATCAAAATTGAATACTACAGTTTTTGCTTTTTTTTTCTCTCATTTTTTTAAATTATTTATAATCATTATAGTTATGCTCCGTTTTTAAACTAAGAACTTTAAACTAACTTTTGTTTGTTTTTCTGCTCCGATCCGATCGATCTGTGCCAGGATGCGCGCTTCGGTCAGTTATTGATTGCTACTCTAAAGTGCTAAATACGTATAAATCTTTAATTAATTAATCAATTAATTAATTATACACTTGAAACAATTTCGTGCGAGAATTGTTACGATCGTTGATTATGGGTTTCCTTTTTTTTTTGTTTTTATTTTTAAAAACTATATAATACAAAAAGTCTTGGCGTTAAAGTATAAATTGTATAAACAAAATAATTAAATTATTTTGCGCTGGTTTACAGTTTTTTTTTTGTTTTTACGCACATACATACAATTAAATAAATTAATTAAACATTTTGCTGTTTGTACTCAAAACTTCTTCGAACCAGCAATAAAGTGGCTAACAATATATATATATATATATTCCATTTCGAATTCCAAATCTCGAGTTGGCCTTTCATAAGAAGCCCATGTCGAGGGCAGTGTAGAGGGCGCGTATATCGCTGTGGGCGGAGATGCGCCAGAAGGGGAAGTTCATGGCCTTGGCGGCCGCCTCCTCCTCGGCCCCATCTCCGATCACCACATAGGTGCTCTTGCGTCCGAACCGAGTCACGATTCGTTCGTAGCAGGTTTCCTGGCCTAAAAGAAAATAAACTGGTTAGCATCCAGATCGATCGATTCCGCCATGTCTACCACAACTTACCGATTTTGTGCGCACTGTAGATGTTCTCGATGTTGAAGATTCCACCGAGTCCGAAGAGCAGGACCTTGGCCAGCGCCGGTGCCAGTTGTGTGGAGGTGACCAGGACATTGACGCAGTTCTCCCGCTGGGCGATCATGCTGAGGCACTTCAGCGCCAGGGTGGCCCAGTTGTCGGTGGCCACCTCGATCTCCGAGCGGATCTGCAGCCAGGCTTCGCGTTTTCCGGGTCCCAGCAAAGTGCCAACACTAAAAAGGATAACGAAGGTTTAATATCAAGGATATAGATAGAATCTCCAACTAAATACTCACTTTCCACGATAGCTATTGTAGATGTCCTTTATCTTGCGGTAACGGAAGGCCAGCTTGCGCATCCAGTCGACTCCGCCCCTCACGCCCGTGGGCAGGCAGAGATTGGGCGGGGCGCCGGGCGGAGTGCCCGTGTGGAAGCCGTCGGTGGCAAAGTTGTAGGCGCTCAGGTCCTGGCCGTTGTCGTCGGAGCTGACATCGTCGATGTGCACCTGGTCGCACTCCTCGATCTCGTTGAAGAAGAAGTGCGTGTCGGCCATGTTGAAGACCATCTCCTCCATGCGGAAGGCGATGGTCATCAGGGAGCTGTGGTCTTTGGTGTATCGATTGGCATAGCTGCCCGAGAGCAGGGTGTGGAAGATGATGAGCGTCTCGTCCAGATCCCAGACGAACACGCGCTCCGGCGGCTTCACCGCCTCGCTATTTCCGGTATCCGACGCAGTGCTCCTCGTCGGACTCGGCTGCTGATGGCGTCGACCACGCGCCCTTCCCGACTTGCCCGTGGGCGTGGTCTTGCTGTTGGCCACCCCAGTACCGGATCCGGGGGTACCAACGCTGCTGCCACCGCTGGAATTCAGGGCCGTAGCTGCGGCGGCGGCGGAGGCAGCGGCGTTGCCCAGAGATCCGATGCCGGAAGTGGCGCTCGGCGAGATCGGGAGCGGGGAGTGCGGCGAGTGAGTGGTCTGGTGCACCGGCGTGGTCGAGTGCGTGTCCGTGGGGCTCTCGGAGAGGTTCGACGAGGCCGCCACATGGAAACCATGGCCGTGGCTGGCGCTGGAGCTGGGCGAGCTGACCGCGTACGGCGAATAGTTGGCCGGACTGTAGTAGTTGCCGTACTGCTCGTTGTAGTAGCCGCCGTAGTCCTGCTGCCCGAAGTTGTTGTACCCGGCATAGGGACTGCTGTAGAGCTGGGAGTTGTTGTTGCCGCCTCCGGCGTAGCTGGGCGTCAGGTAGGCCGCCGCCGCTGCCGCCGCTCCGGGCTCCATTTTGGCCTGGCGGGCCGTTGTGTACGGAGTTCCGTAGCTGGAATAGAATGGCGGCGGAGGCGTGTACTGCTGCATGCTGTTGTAGTAGTAGTAGTCGTGCTTGCTATCGTACACTGCCGCCGCGGCAGCTGCCACTGCCGAGGAGTTGACGGCCGCGGTGGTGGCTCCTGTGTCCAGGGGATTGCTGGCGGCGGAGCTGCATCCGTATAGATTCGATCCGGCCACAGTTCCTGCGGACACACTGCCATTATCCAAGGCCGGATGCACTTGCCCCGGACTGCGGGACTCCGACTTGACGGCCGCCCCCGAGTTGGTGCCGTCGTGCGACGTCCAGTGCGACATCACAGTGGTGCTCACATCCTCGCCGGCCACAGTGCCAGCTCCGGCCCCGCTTCCGGCCTGCTGATATGTGGAGAAGCTGCTGCCGGAGGACTGAGCAAAGCTGGAGGATGCTGCCAGGCTGCAGCTGCTGGGATTCGCGTTCGAGCCCCCGCCATTGGAATAGTGGCCACTGAGCGAGGCCAGCGAGCCGATTGTCGGCTGGAGCGGCTGGCTTTGGGGCGGTAGGCCCAGCGGACTGCATTGCCCGGCCACGCCCACCCCCACTCCTACACCGCCAATGCCCACACCACCCACACCGACGCCCATGCTGGCACCGGCGCTACTGGGTCCATTGCTGGCCAACACGGTGCTGGGATGTGATTGTTGTTGCTGCTGTTGTTGTTGTTGCTGCTGTTGTTGGTGTTGCTGTTGTGTTTGTTGTTGTTGCTGCTGTTGCTGGGGTTGCTGTTGCTGTGACAGATTGCAGAGGCTGCAAGGGAGAACACAACAAAGGGGGTTAAGTAAGTGCGACAAAGGGGTGGGTACATGTATGATAATTTTGTAATTAAAATTTAAGGGAGAAGAAAGCACCCAGCTGCCTGCTTAAATTTAAAATTTAACACTTCATAAAAAAATCTGCTTAAGTCTGCTTCAAAACCTGTTTAATAATAATTCTGTCAATTTAAAATTTAAAGCCTTGCAAGTGATATATATATTAAGTAATTCAGTAATTTATTTATGTACTTGGCTCTCGAACTCGTATATCTTTTTATGGGATCAAGAAAGCAGAGCAATTGATACATAATATATATTTTCCAGTTTTTTTAAAGATATATTCTTAAACTTGTTGTTTAGAAAAATACAAAAGAAGCAAAGGCTTTTTGTTTAAAAAATTATTAAATTTAGGCATCCCTATGTATAAATATTAGCTAGATTTTTAGTAGTATTTAACCTTTAACAACAAAGAACATATTTTGGCATTTAAATCCCATAAAAACACATGGAGACATATCCCATTGTGTGTGCCAGGGAGAGAAGCCGAAAGAGGGAACCTTTGACTCGTTAGGGAAACCCATAAAATAATTTCCAATAATCTTTAAACAGCCATAAAATTAACGGCAAGTTGTCGTAGTACCATGTTCTTGGATTTGAGTTTCCTATTAGTCCCTACCCCCAGATCCCCGAGTCAAGTGTGTGAGGCCCGGCTTGAGAGCTCAGTCCCAGTCTTTAAAATCTTGTCAAGTGTTATAAATATTGTTCTACGATCTCAGAGAATCGCAGAGATGAAAAAAAAAGGAAATCGTTTGAAATTGTTTCGGGGCACTTGAGAGCCTCGTTCTGGCATGTGCGTTGTGCCTTTTTTTTTTGGTTTTTGGTAACCCCCTCCCTCCACTACCCCCTCTTTATGGCCACATGTTCAGCAAATGTTAAATTCTTAAAGAGCGGCGACAAATATTTTTTTTTGTATATTTTACGATTTTTGTTTTGATGGGTTTTGTTGTTCTAAGCGAATGATTACTTTTCAATTGCCGAACAAATTAAGTGGACAAATTTAAGAAAAAATCTTAAAGGATCCATAAAACTCAAATAAAACCGAGCCCCCATTGGAAAAACATATAAATCAAGAAAATCCAGAAAATCAAAATACTTCAGTTTATAATTTATGTGATGAGGGGGAACGAATTGGAAATATAATCCTTTTTTAATAAAGTTGGCCCCCAAAAATTATAAATAATATATATATTATCCCAATTCATGCTATAAAGTCATTTAATTTTTAGATATTATCCAATGCCAAGCATGGAATTTAATATCTTCATCAATTTAAAATAATTTTGGGATAATATTCCACCCCTTTTTTAGACAAAAATAAATTTCCTATATTTTCTCAATGTCTATTTTCCTTCCTATGCAATCCAGAAAAAAAATCTTTAAGGATTTTTCATAATTTTAATAGGAAGGTAAATTAAGTGCCCAATTTCCAAAGGAATCTGACACCTTGAGATACTTTTTGTGTTTGTTTTGGGGAAAGGGGAACATTTATCTTGCCAGCAGCCACAACAAGCGGCAGATGCTGGCTGGTTGAAGGGGGAAATGGTCCCCCCATTTTCACATTTTCCACATTTTCCCCCCATTTTTCTCTATTTTTCCTCAATGATGTACGACGCGTGCGCTGATGAGAGAGCAAAAATCCAATTTCGCCCCACAGATCCCACCATTTGAGTGAGTTTATGTGATGTAATGTGGGCAGCCAATGGGAGATTTACGCAAATTATAATGAATTATAATTAAAGAGGGCCAGAGCTCAAGAAAGAGACAGGAAGATCTAACTGAAAGAGACGGGAGGAGGAGCTCTGGACCTCCTTGCGCCGGATTCTTTCCCTTTGGCAAGTGTTAAGTGCTCTGACACTTTGGTTTATCTTTTTTTTTTT